GGTGACATGAAAAACATAAGTTATCCCCCCAAAACAAGACCTAATGCCTCTTTTGGAGGCAAAGATAATATAAGATTGGGTCGTATTTTCAGGGAAACATAGTACATGGAGGGGTACCTCAAGGTTCTATCTTGGGCCCACTGCTTTTCACCATTTCAATATTTATCTAGATGAGGGAACAGAAGGACAACATCAAAATGGGGGGAAATTGCCAACAGCTTTAGAAACAGACTTATGGCTCAAAAAAATCAGACTTGAGCATTGTGGTCCCTAGGCCCTTAGCCAACAGAATGCAGTTCAGTGGAGAGAAAAGCAAGATCCTGCACTTAGGCAGGAAAAAGCAAATGCACAGCTATAGAATAGGTGATACCTGGTTCAACAATAGTAACTGCAAGAGGGATCATGGTGTCCTAGTGGACATAAATATGAACCAGCAGTGTGCTGCAGCTGTCAAGAAAGCAATCCTGGGTTGCATTAAAAGAGGGTTAGTATTAATATCACGAGAAAGGATTATACTGCTCTATACTGAACTAGTGAGGTCATACTTGAAATACTGCATCCAGTTCTGGACACCATGATACAAAAAAGATGCCAAAGCCCTAGAAAGAGTATAGAGAAGAGCAACAAAGATAATAAAGGATCCAAAGGCTAAACCTTGCTAGGAACAGTTAAGGGAATTTGGTATGCCTAGCTTAATGAAGAGTAATATTAGGGGTAACATGATAGTTGTCTTCTAGTACTTGATGGGCAGTCACAGAGATGAAGGGGTTGACATTCTTCAAAGAACCTGAGTGTAGGACAGGAAGTAAAAGACAGAAGCTTGTTAAAGAGAGATCAAATCTGGAACTAAGGAGAAATTTCCTGACATTAAGAAAAATTAAGCAGTGGAACAGCTTATCTATTTTTTAAATTTTTATTAAATTTTTATGCAGCCCATCAATGTCTCCTCCCTTGGGCAAGGAGATAGAGTGGAAGACAACCAAGGTCCCTTCCAGTCGTGTGATTCTATACTATTTCTACTCTTTATTACTCTAAATAAATGTAATTTATTTTGAACATTTCTGCTTGATGTTACTTGCATCAATCAACTGGTGGTTGTATTCTGTCCAGTGTCAATTTTAAATGTTAAAATATTTAGAACAAAAGTCTTACTGTACATAGGCTGATAAAGCATGGGAAGGCAAAACATGTGCCTCAATAATAGGCTAATTATGAACTTCATTGCAGTTGGCTGATAACATTTCTGTTCCACTCTTTCAGTAAGGAAGCCAATGTTTGGTCTGGTATCCTACTGTATTGTACTGAAAACTAGATAGATGTAATGGTTAAGACATAAGGATAGAATCTGGGAGACCGAGTTCTAGTTCTACCTTAGGCACAAAGCCAGCTGGGTGACCTTGGGCAAGTCACAGTCTTTCAGCTCTAAGAAGAAGTCACTGAAATCTTGCCAAGAAAATTGCAAGGACTTGTTTATCATGATCACCATGATTCAACTCTGATTTGAAGGAATTCCTCCCCCGCCCTATTTACTCATTGCCTGATTTGGTGGAACAACACTTTTCATCTCTGTACCTAAATGATATTGATTCTTTCACTTTTGAAAGGCAACTATTACGTGCTCATGCAATTTAACTTTGCCAACATCACAATATTTGTGTAATTTAGAGAAGCAGTGTTACATAATTCAAAGTTGTTACTGCCTGCCTCTCAGAGTGATTTCCCATTTGCTTTTTCTGTAATACTAATTTTCCTAATGGAGATTATGACACAGGACAAGAAGTGATGCAGTTAGGTAGCAATGTTATTAAGCAGCTAATATTCTCTTTGTAATTGATAATAAACAGCACGTAGGTGCTGGTAACTTTTCCCTCTATGAAAATGTTTCTGCTTAAAAACATGGGCCTTCTCAATAGAAATTACATAGAATAAGAATTCATTGTTAAACGCACTTTTGAATACAAAAGTTAATATTTCATGTAAATAAAAATTATTTGATACCATACATAGTCTTTTTAAGTAGAAACTACAGTAGATATAAAAAAATCAAACTTAAATCTCTTGGAGAAAAAGAACAATAAAAAAGCTTACAATAACATGGTTGCATAATAGTGTACACCCTCTTTATAAGTGGGGATGTGGCTGTGTTTAGAATTAACCAATAACATTCAGACTGCATTAAATAGTACACACCTGCCATCAGCATATATAAAGTTCAGCTGTTATTGCAGGATTTTTCTGACATTTACTCAGTAACCTCTTACAGCAAAAGCTATGATCTGCAAAGAGCTTAAAAGGCATCAAAGGCATCTCGTTATTGGAAGCTATCAGTCAGGAAAAGGGTACAAAAAATTTCCAAGGTGTTGGATATACCATGGAACAGACACTCATCAACAAGTGGAGAAAATATGGCACAAAAGTGACATTATGAAGAAATGAGAGGCTGTCAGGAGGCAGGAAGCAACATTAAAGGAGCTGCAGGAATTTCTGGCAAGTTCTGGTTGTGTACTACATGTGACAACAGTCTCCCATATTCCTCATGTGTCTGGACTGTGAGATATGGTGACAAGACGGAAGAAAGAAAGGACAAAGAAAAACATCCAAGCCAGTTTGCAAAAACCTACATAAAGTATGTGTAAGGACCCACCCCACTTTGCATCTTAAGAAGACAGAACTCTTGCAATAATTCTTCCAACAGGAATCCTTTATTAAGAGAAAATGGTTGCAGGCGTTCTAGACAGGACTTGGGGTCCAAGCTCTCCCATTCAAGGTTTTAAGGGGTTTCCCAGTAGCCCCACCCAATCCCCCCCTACTTCCAGCAACAGTCTCAGGCATTACATTCCCACCCCCCTTTTCCTTACTGCCGGCTGGATGGAGACTTCAGAGAAAACTACATGAAAGGTAATAGCCCCCTTTGTTATGATTAGGCCTTTTGGGTGCTATCCACATTCAATCCCTTTGACGTTGTACTGAAGGAAGTGAGAGCCATAAAGCCCCTTTGTTCACCCCCTTCCCTTCATTGTATGACAGAATCCAGAGAAGGCAGAAATGGGGTTTTCTATAATTGATAACTAGAGATGAAATATAATTGGATTCTGACAGTATGACAAAAGCATGTGGGAAAATGTGCTTTTGTCTGGTGAGCCCACAGTTGTACTTTCTGGCCATAATTCCAAATGGTATGGTGCAAAAATAACACTGCACATCACCAAAAGTACATCATACTCAGAGTGAAGCATGGTAGTGGCAGCATTATGCTTTGGGGCTGCTTTTCTTCAGTTAGAATTGGGGCTTTAGTCAATGTGGAGCGAATTATGAACAGTTCCAAAGATCAGTCAATTTTGGCATAACATTTTTAGGCCTCTGCTAAAATGCTGAACATGAAGAGGAATGTCACCTTTCAACATTTGGGTATGCCCCAAAGGATACCACCAAATAAAAGAATGTCTTCACCAGAAGATCAAAGTTTTGGACTGGCCTATCCAGAGTCCAAACCTGAATCCAATGGAAAATCTGTAGGTGTCATCGCTGACTCTCTATGCATACCTGCTCACAACCAGACAACAGAAACCAGGGAGGGGGGAGGGGAGTGATTGGAATGTATGGGTGGCTTGGGAAGGAATTGAGAAATGCAGGTGCACTGTCTGTAGCCTGAGAGAATTCCAACACCTCAAGGTCGAATGCTGTGTAAGCGGACTGTTCCCAAAACAAAATGAATGCATTTGATTGGTGGACAAAGGACAGTGGGTGGGCCAGGGGAACAAAGGGGATTTTAACTATGCTGTTTTTTGCATGAAAACTTCAGAACTGGCTTTGCTTCTGTGTCTATGTGGAATTGTCAGTAAACTAAAGGAAAAACAATGTCCCAGAAGTTTCTTTTGCTGCACTTACCAATGGAGCAGTTGACAGTGGAGTTACCTGAAGAGGGTTGTGCACGGGAGATGCCCTTGCAATCTGACAGGTTTGAAATGCTTTTGCAGGAAAGAGAGGGCAAAGTTTCCCAAAGCAAGATGTGTCATTTTGATAGGCTCCTATCTTGAATGAAGTCATAAAATCAAAAGGTGTTTTAACAAAATATTAGTTTAAGGGAGTGCACACTTATGCAACCATGTTATGGAACATTTTATTGTTATTTCCCCCCTAAAACATTTCAGTTTGCATTTCAATCGAATTATACAGCTTATATATTAAAGGAGGAAAATATTCTCAAGTGATCTTAGTCTGATTTTTTTTTACATCTCAAACACATGGCATTTTTAACAGATTTGTTTTATATCCATTGTATATGGAATAAGAATTGATAAACACACTTTAGAATAGAAAAATTAATAGTTCATGCAGATAAAAACTATACCATAATCCAAAGAGTTTATGGAAGTTAATTTATCTGAATTATAATTATTCTTAATGATAGCAGCTTCTGAATTAAATATTTTGCTGGATAATGTTTCAGTTTCTTAGTCAATTTAACGAATTACAACAAAAGACATTTGTATTTCTAAAAGACATTTTTTGACTATATATACATATACATACACACACAGAGAGAGACAACAAAAAACATCATGTAAAGATTGGGGATAGTTGATGGGGAGAAGAAGGAATAAGAAACTTTCTTTCTGCAAACTCAGTGCCTCATCCCACTGTTTATAAAAGTTCACTAGCCTTTCATAGAGTTTTTTCAAAAGGTTTTGTAACTGCTAGGGGAAATGAAAGAATTTGACTTCCATGAATTCCCTTTTGTAGCTTATAATAATTATTTTAAGTCATTGCCCATTAATCTAAAAAATGTTGATTATCAAAGACAAAATTTCCTACTTGCTTGAGGGAAACCTATAACATCTAGCAAACTTTTCAGTGAAAAAGATTGAATAATATATGTCAGACTAAAATCAGTCTTAAACACTTAGAGGTTGGAGCTAAATCTACTGTCTTTTAAATAATAATATTGCCATTTCATGAATATAATATTTTTGTTTGCATGCTATCTTTTCTTCAAACAGCATTGGATTCCAAAGCAAATAATCTGTCCAGTTTGTCCAAGAAATACCGCCAGGATGCGAAATATCTGAACATGCGTTCCACCTATGCCAAGCTTGCTGCTATTGCTGTCTTTTTTATTATGCTGATTGTCTATGTGCGGTTCTGGTGGCTATAAAAGATTAATAGTCCCCTGAGGGATATTTAATAGTAGAAAGCATATCACTGTTAAGTAGCTAATATCACAGGATGTATATTAGAATCTGCCTGGAGATTTCCTTATAATGAGAATTCCTGCTATTTCCAAATGTCAGAACTTGCTGGGACTAATGATTTTCTTTTGTAGCAGTTATATGCTTGGAAGACAAAACATTTTTCCAGTTAACAGATAGGAGTAGCCTAATTTGACCCACCTACTACTATTCAAAACTATTGTTAATAGATATACTAAAATAAGTGCAGCCCTGGTAGGGGATTCTAATGGATATTCTAGAATGTGTGATTCCTGTTTCAAGGGTGGCACATGTGTGCATATGTGTATAAACAACATATACTGATTTTTTTAGTTTGTCCAATCAATGCTAATTTTATATTGTCAAATGTCTTGACTCGTTACCCTGTTAATTTAGTAACTGCATAAAAATATTGCTTCACCTGGCTTCTATACTGGTAAGTGAAATGGGGAAATAATCTGAGTTCACTTCACTGTATATATATATATAAACTGTAGCTGTGTGTGTTCTGACTAAGCTACAGCAGTTACTGTTAAACATATTTCTATATAACTGCAGAAATACTTCAGCTCTTATTTCTGATTATGGATTGTCATACCATCTAAACCAAATTAGATTTAATTTTATTTTGAAGCATCCAGTTTCAAAAGCAGAAGCTTTTGGAGAATTCCTCATGACTAAGTAAGGGAAGAGAAGAATGGAAGGTCCTCGGCACCAAGATTTGTTTACTCTGTGGCTTAATTCAGATGTGATCTTTCTCATTTTACATTGAGTTGCCAAGTGCCCTCACAAATATTGTTTTAATCTATAAGATCATCGACTACCTGAATATCCCTCCTTGCAAACTTACAGTAAAAGACTTCTTCCTGAGAGCTTGAATATACTGTATATTTTGAAAAATTAACCCTTCTATTTCATAGAAGTTTGTTTTCAACTTCTGTATCACAAATGATAAATTGCCCGTGCAACAGATTCTGTAATGATACAGCTCTTCACAAGGTATGCACATCTATTTTAGGAATTGCCTAGTTACAAGCAAATTCAGTTCCATGAATCCAGTAATGTCATAGAAATTCCACGGAATAAACAAAATTAACTTCTCCAATCTGACAAGGCCAAAGAATTCTAAGCTCCAAAGTTAAGTGTCTCTTGCCATTCACATGTCAACATTGAAATAAATGTACAAGTAGTCCTCAACTTACAACCATTTGTTTAGTGACTGTTCACAGTTACAACAGCATTGAAAAAAGTGACGTATAACTGGTTTTCACACTTAACGACCATTGTAGCGTCTTCATGGTCATGTAATAAAAATTCGGTTGCTTGGCAACTGGCATGCATTTATTACAGTTACAGTGTCTGGGGTTCATGTGATCATTTGTTTCTGACAAAGTCAGTGGGGGAAGCCAGATTCACATAACAATCACATGGTTCACCTAACAACTGTAGTGGTTCACTTACCGGTTATGCAAAAAAAGTCGTAAAACGGGGCACAACTCATTTAGCTGTTTCGCTTAGTAATGGAAATTTTAGGCTCAATTGTGGTCATAAGTTGAGGACTACCTTTATGCTGTAAATCATATTTGGTTTCCTGGTCTGTCTTCTGTCTTTGTATATATTTTCAAGAGACCAGTTTGAATTTTTAAATGATAGGAATCTGTTTCCCAATCCTGTTCTTGTTGCAAGAACTCTACTATCTATTATTCTTTCCTATAAAAGATTCCTTTTTTTTTTTTGCTTTATGCAGATTTCCACTGGAAATTAAGATAATGAGGATAATACTTCAAGAAAATATTGCACAGGGCAAGTAGGGCTGTTGATACTGCCATTGTTAGGCAGTGTGGTTATGTATGTGTGTGTGGGTTTTGTTTTTTTTTACTAATGGCCACATTGTTTAATGACAGAGTTTCTGGTCTTAATTAGCATAATTAAGCAAAGACTACCTTTATGAGGATTCCTGCACTGGGCACAAGGTCGGACTAGAACCTCCAATGTCCCTTTGAATCCTATAATTCAATGATGGTGATGATGTATTACATCCAGAATTCTAGAGATAGAAATCGGTAGAGGTCTGGGATTGAAATATATTAAAAATCTGAACTTTTTCCTCAGGATTTCCATTGATCTGTCACCTGGTACATCATGATATAATAAATTGCCAAAACAAATAACTTAGATCTGATTAGGAGTGCTCTAGCAGCTCTGTCTACAGATAAATTTGTCCAGAATTTTCTTCCTGCTCTGTTTCAAGGCATATTTATAGTAATACAATATAGCTATTACTAATCCACATTATTTTATTAATTGTATCTAAACTAATTGCTATATAAAGCTAGCTGTTTCTATTTGTTAAGGTTATACCTTGATGAAAAAAGTACATTGTACTGGCCAATATCATTTCACCCCAGCTCAAAGCATCATTTTGCCACCAGCACAAAATGAAAAAATAATCCAGACCTCTTCATGTTACTCAATGTTTGTTAAAAGTAGAAAAGCAGAAGTTGTTCTTGAAAACAGTATGTTTTTATATATTGTGTGTAAGTCTCCACTGCCTTATGTACAAATTGAAGCTGGATTTTTGTATAAGACATACTAATCTAAAAAAAACTCATACGTTTTGATATCTGTCACTAAAAAGGATATGTACATATATGGTAGTGATAGATTTGTTGTGGTCATATAGATCTTCTCTATTGAGCTGTTTCTTGTTCTTCCAAAACAAGAGTTTTGTAGGTGCAGATAGAAGTCGTTCTTATGTTGTATCAAACATCCTGTTCAGAAGTATCTCTAGTTTTCTTCTAAATACAAGTAAAGGTTGTGTTGAGAGCACCTGGAGAAGAGAGAAATCCACAGCTTTGATCTGCTCTTCCTGTAACACAATTCATTTTCTCTGGATTTTGCTTTATTGGAAACTGGAATAACCAAAGTATTCTGGGTTCTGCTTCTCTTACATTGGCTAATCTGAAATGATTCATCAGAAATATCCAGAATGAAACAAAATATATTTTCCATTTCATACACAGCTGAATTAAATCTCCTGGCAGACCCAGGCAGAATGGCCAGTGGTAAAAGTAATTATCTGAAGCTGTAATTCAGGAATGTGAAGGACTACAAATTTCTCAGCTTATTTTAGCACTAACTTGTTTTAATTTTCTGATGGTTGGCTTTTCCATGGTTTGAACCTCAGAACCAGATTTGGATATAAATTAAGATACACCTTAGAGCAGCGATGAGCAATTTTTCCAAGGGGCAACAGGAGGAATTGGGGCTGTTGTGGAGGGCTAAACCAATAGCCCCATGGCTGTGCTACACCCACTCATGCACAAGCCCCTGCTTTGACCAAGGCAGTGATGGATGGCAGAGCCCATGTCCCTTCACAAGATGACCACTGCTGCTCCTCAGCCTGCTCTAGGTGAGATGTTAGCACTGCACAAGCGTAGAAAAACACTTCTCACCCTTCTGCTGCTGCCAGCCAACTGAAGGAATGCACAGTGACTGCAAAGATGAACTCAGCTTCTCCTGCCCCTGTGGCAGACTTCTTTATATTTAATATTAATTTCCAATTGACCTCACATGGACTGGACAATGACAGCCAAAAGCCAAATGTGGACTGGGGGTCGTTAAATGCCCATGTCTACCTTAGGATCTCACGGCCTGAAGAGCCTTTTCAACATTTCTGATTTATTTTTTCATTTGCTTTAAGATGATTCTATATATGAAATTATTTACAGGCAATATTTAAAACCACACATCAAATATAAAACAAAATAAAAAGAACATATACTAGGAAACCTATATTTATATGACAACCTTCTATATCAGAGGTCCCCAACCTTTTGGGCACCAGGGATTGGTTCTGTAGAGAAAGGTTTTTCCGCGGACTGGAGAATGTGTGGTTTTGTGTGCTGCCTACATCCCATGGATGGGACTTTGCTTGTTGGTGCTTGTTTGTGCGGACAGGTTGCTGGCATGCTGCAGCCCACTACCGGACCGGGGATTGGGGACCCTGTTCTATATTGTTCACATGGTCCTCATTAATTAAGATCTGTTTTATTTCTACATGCATTCACACCTGTTCAGAGAAGGCTTTGAACAAAAGGGTTGTATATTTTGCAGCATTCTTAAGTTCAATTTTTTTTACAGCCTTATTTTCTCTTAGCAATTGTCAAAGAGACTCTACAGTAGCTATATCCAACCTGCAGCTCATGGGCATCATGACTCCCTGGATGGCTAGTGACGAGACCTCACAAGTTCATAACTTTTAACATTATTATATGATTTATATACATTAACTATATTGTGTATTTTATATGCAGCCCAAGACAGTTTCTCTTCACTCATTGTGACCCTGGCAAGCCAAAAGGTTGGATATCCATGCTCTACGTCATAGGTGTCAAACTCGCCATGTCACGTGACGTGTTGCGATGTAGCATGACTTTTTTTTGCATTGCCAAAGCCGGGCCAGGCTGGGCGTGGCCTCCATATGATGCAACCAGCCTGCAGGCCGGTTTTTTGACAGCCCTGCTCTACACCTTTTCACAGTTAAGGGTTTTGCCATGTCTAGACTTGCTAAAAGGATTACAAAAGAAATTATATGTTACTACCAGGATGGATCCAGCAGAATTTGTACTTTTATGTCGCTATCGAATTTGTTTCTGAAACTGGCTTTATTCCTTTAAGAATTTGTTTATATTTTTTTATGTTAATACTGGGAAACTTAATTTAGATTCTATCTGTATTTACAATTGTGTAAGTTTAGTTGAGGACAGGAAGAGCTGGAGGAACATTGTCCATGGGGTCGCAACAACAACAAAGTTTAGTTGGGCTGAAAGTGCCTGGTCCAAAGTTAATGTAATAAGGTTCATTGTCCTAGCCCAGCAACCTAAATAGTACATTATACTTGCCCTCTATTTGTTTTGTTAGCCATTTTGGAGTCAATGATATATGTACTAGAGATGACCAGAGTTTTTGAAGCTAATGGGAAATAAACTTACATAATCCTACACAGACCAACTTATACCTGAGTGCATATGCTTAGGTTGCACCATAAGATGAATTAATATTTTGTTAGATTTATATATTTAATTCAATTCAGGCACTTCCTGACTAAATTCCAAACTGACTGGGCATCTCATAATATAATAAACTCTTTAAAATAAATGGGATGCAATCATTGTATACATAAAATTGACAAAAATATTTAGCAGGATTTTCAAAGGGATTTTTTTAAAAAAAAGATTTCAAAGGGATTTCAAAGAAAGGTAATAGTTAAACTAATGTGTATATAGAGAGCTTCATTTATGAATATAGTAATTATTGGAAATTTGTCTGATATATTTCCAGTAATTTAAATTAACTTATCTGTTAATTTGTAGTCTTCAAGTAAAATAGCATTTGGTAATTAAGTATCAAAGGTTTTAAGACTACATTCCTGGACTGGAAGGAAAAATCATCTAAAAATGTAACCCAGTTATTTACTTTGGATTGGAAGAAGCCACTGGAGCAGATATTCATTAATGTAGTGGGAAGGAAAATGAGTTTTTTTTATTAGAGACTGCTATATATCATAGGATATAGTGCTAAGTCTGTAATTTAATTATATTTTGTACAGTATATTTGAGATGGAAGACCATTGCTTTTTGCATTTTTTGTCATATTCTTTATTTTTCAGCTGAAAAATTTAGAATACTGGAAAATATTTACGACTTAATTTTCAAAACATTGCTTTATATAATGAATATAATATCATAACTATATATAAGCTCATGCATTCAGGCTGTTGCCTTGCTTTAAAATACAAACAGGCAGTACAGTATTCATTATCAGACATTAAAGACACCAATGTATTATATTTTTCATTTATTTATGAACACAGATACTTAGCAATATAAGCCACAATAATGAGTGTACTTATATGACATACTTATGTGACCTACTCCAGTTGAATAACCAGCCATCTTTCCCAATATTAATCAATTTGTTTTTTGAGGAGAAACAATAGGACATTCCATTTGAAAAAAAAGGGCTGTTCTTGTAGAGGAGGAATCTGTGATATATTAACTCATGTTCTTTCATATTGCCACTACTACAAACATGCCCAGTTGCATTTAGTAATACCTCATCTACAACACTCAGATTTCCACTTGGATTCATTTTATTTACAGTTGTTATTGTGATTAGTGTGATTTATTTTTCTTAATGTGGCTAAGTTTTATTGTAAATATTTCACACCTTGACCATGCTACTTTTAGAATAGTTTTGCTGTGGTATTTGCAATGTCACACTTCATTTTCTTTCTGTTTATAAGCTGGTCTATATTTTGTCTTTATTCAGTTTGAACTTTTAAGAGATGCTGTAGTCTCATTCACCATGGAAGAGCCACTGTCTACAGTTAAAAGCTATTTAAATACGATTTGATATGCAAGTACTGATTTCTTTCTATTGTTTTCTTACAAAGTTATTTAAGAATTGGTTTAAAGTAACTTTGCCTAATAATAAACAAAATCAGTTTTCAGGATCTAAAGCTGTAATAAAGATTAAAATAAAAAGCAAGTGAAATTTTTAGCCAAAACTTGATTACAGAAAAAAGGAAATACTAGCATCTTTGGTTATTTTTACAACTGAAAAACTTGTAAAATACAAGGTCTGGAGTCTCCCAAAGGAACGTGTTTAGAAAAAGTTGAAAAAGGGGATATCAAAGATACAAAACAAAGATTTAACAAAGATTAAACCTGATTAAGCGCCCTACTACTTAAGCATGATTTGGACAGGCAAAAACATTTTGACAATACTGTATTTTGCTGCAAATTCCATCTGTTCCGTGGTATATGTTTTCTACTATGCTGTCAAAATAAATATGATTTAGAAGTACCATAATCAGATTTAGATATTTCATTTCGGAATTAAGAATATACACGCCACACTTCCTCCTTTACGCCTTATCAACCATTACATCCCCTCCTGGGCGGGAAAGCGAGATGGTCGGTTGTGACTGTCAATTTGTTCCGCCCCGCTCCGCCCATAGAATTGCCAGCGTCCTTCCATAAATTGAGAATTTATTAGGAAAGTGGAGTACTACTACTGAGCTGTAGTCATGCCATCCTATTTAGTGACAGTGGCGACGGGAAATCAGTGGTTCGCAGGCACCGACGACTATATCTACCTTACCTTGGTGGGCTTAGCCGGCACGAGCGAGAGACATCTGCTTGACAAGCCGTTCTATAATGACTTCGAGCGCGGTGCTGTGAGTGAGGTGGTGGGCGGGCTGTGGAATATCACTCGAGATCTGTACAATCGCTTCTCTCTAAGCACAAGTTATCTGAGATGAAGTTTTACAGCGACAAAAAGGCATTTCTTTTCTTTCCTTGTCCCTCAATAGTTCCTCATCGATATTGGCTTCCTATTTGCTCTCTTGCATCCTTTTTTCTAAGCTATCGAGGGATGTTTGCATTCTGCCACAGTACGTCTTTGCCTCCTGAATAGCAAGCAACAATTTGAATGTTCATTTGCTTTCTCATGGAAAGTGGAAAGTATAGTGTACCTTCTGTATTATGACGCGGAAATGCAGCTGCCTAGTGATTTTCTGTTGCATGATCAATATGAGAGCTATTTTGCAGGAAAGGATCCTTCCTGCCTCCGTTTGCTTGTTTCCTTTGTTTTTCTGGACCACATAGGACAAAAATGGCCATACAGTACTGTACTATCTAGAGGGGAAAAAACTCAGTGTTCATACTTTTTTTCAGTGTAGTTCATCAGAAATCTCTGGTTTGCTGTATCAGGATTGTGAAGGGGGGAAAATCCTATTTGTAAGAAGCACTTGGCAACTTCCTCTGTACCATCATGCAAGAAATTGGGGAGAGGAGGCAGTTAATCAAAGGTTCCTCTAAGAATGTCTAGGCTTTTGTTTCTTATCTAAGCGGTCTAATTACGCTCAAAGAGGCTGAAAATTCAAAAGGGAAATTTTTAGAAACAGTTCTGTTCAAAATTTTGAACAATAAATAAAACAATGATGGATACTCCTTGCTGCTATCCTTTGCTTAGTCTTGCCCCATGTACCTGCCAAACTGTTGGGGGGGGGAAGCAATTAGGAGAAGGAAATTGTTTTTGCAAAGAGCAATTAGTCATACTTTTCTGTGCCTTCTATGTTTGTTACAGTGGCTTTGTTACTATTGTCTCTTTAGCCTCAACTGTGACTGACATTCTAGAAAGAAATGAACAAGAGATTATTATAAAACAGTGATGGCGAACCTTTTAGAGACCGAGTGCCCAAACTGCAACCCCAAACCTGTTTATCGCTGGGTGCTGTGTGGGCATGGCCAACTGGGTGGGAATGGCCATGTGGTCATGGCCGACTGGGTGGGTGTGGCCATGGTGGGTGTGGCCACCTCGATGGTGCTTGTGGCCTTCCACTGCCGCTGCTCCCACCATGAGGATGGCTGGCACAGCTTTGCTTCCGGATCTGCTGCCTGACATCATCAGCCCCTGCACACAGGCCAGCGAGCGCATGCGGGCTGACAGTATCCATCAGCAGCCACAGCATGCTGGCTGTCCTGCATAATGGCGAACTGGCCATGGAGCCCCATTGGCATGGGCAGAGACGGTCCTGGGACAGCTGGAAGGAAACCCTTGCCACAGGGGTGGCGTCTGCTACTGCTCCAACCGGTCAACCATGCAGGGAAGCAGGACAAGATGGAGGAGCAGCCAAGGGTCTGGAGCCGCCTTGGCTACTCACTGGCAGCCCGATGCAGCAGATCTTGTGCACCAGCTGCCCCTCCTGCTTCCCTCTATGATCGACCGGTTGGAGCAGCAGCAGAAGCCGCCCCATCAGAACCATCAAATGGATAGGCCAGGCTCCCTTCCAGCCATCCCAGGGTCATCTCCGCCCTCGCCAATGGAGTTCCATGGCCAGTTTGCCATTATGCAGGACAGCCAGCATGCTGTGGCTGCTGATGGATACCGTCAGCCCCCATGCGCTCGCTGGCCTGTGAGGGGGTTGATGGTGTCAAGCAGCAGCTGGTCTGGCCCCTGCCTCACCTTGCCTTGTCCCATGGCAATTAACACACCTGCCCTGCCTCACCTCACCGCACCCCGCAGGACGAGCCTCCAGCCCAACCGCCAGAGATCCCCTGTATCTCTCCCAACCCTGCCTGGCTCACACAGGCATCCCTCCCCACAAGCACCATCTGGCATGTGCCTACCCTTTGCCACTGCCCCACATCATCCTGCATGCACCTCTGGGACATGCGTGCCGGGCGATATAGAGTGGTAGCAGGGAAGGATGGGTGTGTACTACAGTTCACCTTCCCCCACCACTGCCTCCACCAGCACGAGTATGGGTGGCACAACTTCGCTTCCAGATCTGCTGCCGGCCGGGCTTGGTGATGCAGGGATCACCGCCATCGCCTCCTACTTCATTGTGTGGTTGGCTGGTCAAGGGGCTTGGAGCAGCAGGAGCAGCAGCTGTCAGAGACACCATGTAGACAGGGCCCACACCAGATGAGGGCTCCTTTCCAACTGTCCCGGGGCTGTCTCCGCCCACGCCAATGGGGCTGCACTGAGGAAGGGAGATGGCTGATTCCCCCCGCTGGCTGCCCCCTCAGCCCTCTGCCTGGTGCTCCTTCTATGCAATCCTACGTGACCGCAGAGTGGATGAGAGGCTCGGCCAGCGGGGGGCGGTTTTCCTCCGTGGAGGCATCCTGGCTCTTCCGTTGCCCCTCGCCTTCTCCCAGCCGGGACCTGATGACCTCCACCCTTCTGCCTCCACCTCAGCTGATCCCCCAAGCAGCCCAGCCCGACCAAGACGGAGGGAAGGCGAGGCAGAGAACAGGTTGTTAAACAATTTGAAACCCACCACTGGTCGCTTCCAAAGGCCTCTCACTCTCCCGCCAAAACTCCTTTTATAGGTTTCCTCACCCTGCCCAGCTCTTGCAGCTGTTCCCGGACTCCGTATGTGTGGAGAGCGGGAGGGGAGGAGCCCGGCCCTGCATCCCTCTGTGACAATGGCGCATGCCACCTGTGGCACGCATGCCATAGGTTCGCCACCACGGTTATAGGGTGAAACAGTTACTGTTTCTAAATGCTTATTCTTGCTTATCCTTTGGACAGTTTACTAGACAGGATTCTACTCTGCAGATTCATAACTGTATGTTTATAACTCACTATCAATTCTATGTGCTTTTTCCTCCAACAAGGGAAATATGTATGTATATTTCTAAATATAGTGCCTATATAGGTAGTCCTCGACTTACAACCACAATTGAGTCCAAAATTTCTGTTGCTAAGCGAGACAGTTTACAATCTTTCTTGCCACAGTTGTTAAGTGAACCACTGCAGTTGCTAAGCTAATACTATGGTTGTTAAGTGAAAATGGCTTCTTTCTTTAATATGAATCAAAAATGAAGGCAAATATGAATCAGTTGCCAAGCATCTGAATTTTGATCATGGGAATGCTGCAATGGTCATAAGTGTGAAAAGCTGTTGTAAGTCACTTTTTTAGTGTCATTGTAACTTTGAACAATCACTAAATGAACTGTTGTAAGTTGAGGACCACATATATATATATAATTAGATATTGCTAATATAACATTCTACTAGATAATATAAAGGAAATTTTTATGCAGTTATATAAACATTTATCATAAAAAGTAACTTATTATAAACATTATTGATTATAGTTAGGAGCTAAATGTACACTGTATCTCTGGTGTAATTACTTGGGAAACATTTATTTTGATACTTAGTTTTGCATTAATTCTTGGTAACATTGCTAACTTCTTAAATACAGTGCAACATGATTTTGTGATCATCTTGCTGGATGGCTTCAAAACACTCCTGAAAGCACTGGAAGAGTTATACTGTTTAGTTTATTATTTTCTGTTTGGTATTTCCAGGAGATGTATTAATTACTCAAGTAATTGGTAGACTCTTGATTGCTGTAATAATTCACTTTCCATTTTGGGATGAAAAAGACAAAAATCAGTTTTTTTCTCATGAAAATCTTAGCCCCATCATGTATATTTGTGGCTCTGTCTGCCTTGCATTGTCTCCCTACCTGCATAGTTTCAGTTGTGTTCCTAATCTCACAGCTGATAGTGAAGCCATTAGTCTGTCACACATGTGCAAATTAAGCCTCTTATTAGTCACACTTGCCTTGTTTTTCATTATATTTGTGAAATTTATTTAAATTTTTAATGGTCCTTTTCATATTTACTATTAAATATCTAAATATTATGCAAACATGTGTCATTTAACAGCTGCCTGAATGAGACAGGAGGGGGGGGAGTTCATCTATCCTTGTGAAATTCAATGAAGATTCTGTATTGATCATATGTGATATAGGCTATAGTCTACAGTTTTTAAGATAAAGACCCATCATACCATATTTTTCTTACAAAATGATTCTATTGGCAATTCTTTTACAGCTAATGTGATATACATAAATTCAATATGCATGCTTCTTTAGTCAAAGTCCTGTTTCTGTTCCTGTTACAAAAATATTTTCTGTTGTGAAATATTCCACTTCCCCATCTCAGTTAAGTCAAATATTTTCCTTTACCAGTGAACAATAAAAAATAACAATCAGCATTATGACATCACAAACAAGGTGAGCAAATTGCCAGGTACATATAGGGCACCAGCTAGATCTATCAGATTCCTGGGTCTAACGTCTTCAACCCATCCTGTACCAGGGCAAGCTTCCAATTGAAAACTGACTAAGAAATTATACATCAGTTACACAGAGAGATAACTTTACAGAGCAGCGACAGCGCAGCAGGGAGGAGAGCCAGCAGCAAGAGGCAGCACAGCGAATTACAGCACAGAGGGTAGCGTGGAAAGTGTCGGTGGAGCAACAGGGAATCAGAGGCTATCGGTGGTGGAGCATTGCAGCACAGCAGACCAGCGATTGCGAATGGCAACAGAACAGCACGGCAGACCAACAGTGGGGGGGGGGGGGCGGCAACACTAAGAAAAGCAGGGAGAGCTGAATAGCCGATGGTGATAGATGAAAACAAGTAGGAAGAGAGGCTAAAAAAAAATAAAAAATTACAGAACACAAGGCAAAAAATCAAAGCAGAGTAGACAATAGCAAGTACAGAACATATAAAGGTAGAGAAGAAAGGGATAAATAAAGCTCACAAGGAGGAAAGGGATAATTATAGAACATTCCAGGACAGGATAAGAAAGAACCTTGTATTTAAGCCCCATTCAACACTGAAAATTTCAAAATTTGACATTTTAAATGAACAGCTAGAACTTTAAAATTTGAAACTAGACATTTCCCCCCCAAATTTTGAAATTTTTAAATGATATCAAATGATATCAATTTTCTAAATTGGACATTTTTCCCTTTTAAAAATTTGTGGTAAAACCTTCTACACTCATTTTCAATTTTTTTCTCATTTTCATTGTTTTTAATCCACTCACGGAAAAAGAAACTGGTGCTATTGCAATCTGCAAAACATGTTCCATGTGTACGCTTATGCCCATCCAAACTATAAATGTACCAAATGTAAACTAATTGTGTTATTAGAAGAAAAAGTAAAAGGTCTAGAGGAAACACTAACCACTTTGAAACTCAACCTACAAAATGAGAAACCCCAAACCTTGAAAGAAGAATGTGCCCTAATTGAACATAATAATGCTTAAACAACTTCTAAAAGAACTGACCCCTTAGAAGAAGAAAAGAGATGGAAGCATGTCACTCATAGAAAAAAAAACAAACCTAGAACAAAACCCCTGTCCAACCCCACCCCCTCTGATACAGCCCCACTGGTGCTGAGCAATCGATTTCATATACTGTCCCTGGAAAAAAACATGAAGACACCTAGAAAAGAAGCATCATCAAATGTCCCTTAAAAAGTAGTAACATCAAGTGCTTCTGTGATAGATAGAAAAACACCACAAAACTTGCTAGGAAAAAAAAAGGCGACAAGAGATTCAATTCTCAAGGGAACAGAATCAGCCATCTGTAGACCAGACAGTCAATCCAGAGAGGTATGTTGTTTCCCTGGAGCAAAAATCAAAGATGTGGCTGAGAACCTAACCAAAATAATAAAACCCATAGATTACTACCCTTTTCTACTACTACACATGGAGACGAATGACACAAAAATAGACCTAAAAACAATATTGAATGATTACAAATAGCTAAGCAAGGTCAAGGAGACGCACAAGTGGTTTTTTCATCTGTACTGCCAACGAAAGGTCAACATCCAGTAAGAAAACAAAGGATTCTGGAAGTGAACCATTGGCTAAATGGTTGGTGTCACCAAAAAACCTTTGGATTCCTGGACCATGATCTGTACTACCTCCATGATAGACTTTTGGCAAGGAACAGTTTGCACCTCACAAAAACTGGGAAGAATGTTTTCAGAAAACGCCTGGCTCATCTTATCAGGAAGACTTTAAATTAAAACTGAGGAGGGAGGGTGATCAATGTTTAGGATCTCCAGGACTTAATTATAAGCCAAAACCCCTAGAAAACAAATCAAATGAGGGAAGGGAAGGAAGACAAACTCAAACACCAAATAGGAGTGTAGGAATCATACCCAGAGTCAGACATAAAGATCTCAAATGCCTGTATACAAATGCACAAAGTTTGGGGAACAAATAGAGTGAGCTAGAATTATTAATACATAAAGATAGATATGATATAATTGGAATTACTGAAACCTGATGGGATGAAACCCATGAGTGGAACATACTGATAGAAGGATACAAATTATTAAAAAAAACCAGACCCCATAAAAGAGAAGGTGGAGTTGCATGAGACCAAAACCAAAAACCACCTAGAATGCATATGGGTCAATATAAAAGAAAAAAAATGACATTGCCATAGATGTAAACTACAGGTCATCCAATCAAGCAGAAAAAAATAAATGTTCTTTTTGCTAACCAATTAACAAATATATGTAGGAAACACAGTACAATAGTAATGGGAAACTTCAATTACCTTGACATCAACTGGAAGACTAATTCTGCACCAAGTGAGAAATCAAATAGATTTCTGATCAACCTAGCTGACAACTTTATTGACCAAAAGGTAGAGGAAGGAAATAGAGAGACAGCTATACTTGACTTAATTCTCACAAACAGAGAAGTGATAGAGGGAGTTGAAACTGAAGGAACCTTGGGTGAGAATGATGATATACTGGAATTCAATATAATGCAAACAAAAGCAATAGAACATTATCATTATACAGAGCCTTAGAGTTTAAAAGATTTTAACAAACTCCAAAAGAGCTTGGGAAAGATTCCTTGGATGAAAATCCTAAAGGGGAAAATGACTCAAGAAGCTTGGGAAATTCTGAAAAATATGATCATAAAAGCCCAATCCAGCACAATACCACTGAAAAAGAAAAACAAGAAATCTAAGAAAAAACCAGCATGGTTGCACAAAGATCTCTCTGATGAACTGATAGACAAAAAGGACAAGTACAAAAAATAGAAAGAGGGACACGTAACTGAGGCAGAATATCAGCAGATAGCCAGAATCTGCAAAAAAGAAGTTAGGAAAGCAAAGGTTCAGAATAAACAAAGACTTACAACAAAAGTAAAAAATAATAAAAAAAAGTTTCAACATATTAATAACAAGAAAAAAATCAAGAAAACAGTCGGTCCACTAAAGAGAAAAGGTGGCAAGGAAGTAACAGGTAGCAGAGAGTAAGCAGAGTTGCTTAACTCATTCTTTATATTGGTCTTCATGCAAAAAGAAATTAGAGGCCAATCTACCAAAAACATAACTGAAAAATACAGACTAGAAATAAAAGTTAAAATAAAAAATGGTAAGAACACTTGTCTGATCTTGATGAACATACATCACTGGGACCTGATGGTTAAACATCCCACAGTTCTGAAGGAGCTGGCAGATGTTATCTCAGAATCACTGTACCATATCTTTCAAAAATCCTGGAGCACCGGGGAACTACCAAAGGATTGGAAAAGAGCTGATGTGGTTCCCATCTTCAAAAAAGGGGGAAAAAACAAACCAAGGAAACTACAAATCAATCAGCCTAACATTAATACCTGGGAAGATACTGGAAAAGATAATCAAAAAAGAGATCTGCGAACAAGTAGAAACAAATAAAGTTATAACTAGAAGCCAGCACGGGTTTGTTAAAAATAGATCATGCCAAACCAATCTTATTTCATTTTTTGACCAAGTAACTAAATTAGTAGACCAGTGAAATACTGTGGATATAATATACTTAGACTTCAGCAAGGCATTCGACAAAGTAGACCAAAACATACTTCTTGGGATGCTAGAAAAAAGTGAGATAGTCAGCATCACCACCAGATGGATTTGTAACTGGCTGACAAACCATATTCAATGAGTAATCCTCAATGGTACTACATCTACATGGAGGGAAGTAAACAGTCGGGTACCACAAGGTTCTACCCTAGGCCCCATACTCTTCACCATCTTCATAAATGACTTAGATGAGGGAATAGAAGGGGAACATCAAATTTGCAGATGATACTAAGCTGGCAGGAATAGCCAAAACCCTAGATCAGGAGTGTCACACTGCCGGCCCATGGGCCAGATGCATCATAGTAAAACCGTGCCCACCCCATTGCAGGCAATGACAAAAAAGTCACGATATGTCACAACACATCATCTAACGTTGCGAGTTTAACACTCCTGCCCTAGATGATAGGCTCAAGATCCAGAAGGATCTTGACAGACTTGAACATTGGCCCTATCTAACAAAATGAAATTTAATGTAGAGAAAAGTAAAGGCTTATACTTAGGCAAGAAAAACCAAAAATACACATATAGATTGGATGAAACCAGGCTTAATAGCAGTAACTATGAGAGGGATCTTGGAGTCTTAGTAGACAATTAAATATGAGCCTACAATGTGTAGTGGCAGACTGGACTGCCATTTGTCAGAAATGGTATAGGCTCTCCTGCTTGCTTGGGGGGTTGGACTAGATGACTTACAAGGTCCCTTCCAGATCTGTTATTCTATTCTGTTCTGCTAGCTCGGGAGATTCTGACAGTTGTAGTCTTACACATCTGAATTTTGCCCTAGTTGGGAAATACAGTTCTGCTGTCATGATGGAGGACATGAACTGACTGTTTTAGACATATTTCAACAACCAGTTGCTTTGGACATGTTTCACAAAACAGCAAGGGCAATGGTGACAAAGCTGCTAAAAGCACACTGTCAAAGTCTTCTTAGTTTGAAATGAACACTCCTGAAAATTTGAAGTTAAATTATTTGCAAGTGACTGCATTTAGGTTGTCTAACAGATCACAGCCTTTTTTCCCCTTTTCCCAGACTGATACTTACGATGTTACAGTGACAGAGGACTTGGGGGAGATCCAGCTGATAAAAATTGAAAAGCGGAAGTACTGGTTTCCTGATGACTGGTACCTTAAATATATCACTGTGAAAACACCAGTTGGTGATTACCTGGAGTTTCCATGTTACAGGTGGATTACAGATGAAAAAGAGGTGGTTTTACGAGATGGTCAAGGTAAGTGCATTTTCTGTTCTATGAGACAACTTTAGATATTTGAACACTGCTGTAATATCTCTCCTTTGTCTCTTCTGTAAGACCTCTATAGTCTTCTAATTGTTCCTCTTCAGACTTGGTTTTTACTCTGTTCATCATCTTCGTAACCATCCTCTTAACTTTTAACTTAATTCTTAATTTAATCCTTTGTCCAGAATGGTATAGGGTCTTCTGGTTGAGCAGAGTTTGAATTAGAAGACCCCCAAGGTCTGTCCCTTCCACCTCTATTACTCTATAATTTTGTGATTCACTTCAGCTTATCATCTTAAACTATGGTACTCAGAACAGGACACAGTGCTTCAAATAGGGTCTGACCAGGGCAGAGTGGAGCAGAGTAGAACTTTATGCTTCTGCTAATGTTGGAATAATAAATATTATTCACCATGTTTCAATTGAAGCCTGTCACATGATACTTGTTTTCTCAAGTTAGGATCTCTAGTTTTTGCTCCATTTTTTTCTTATACTTTGTGCACCAACATAGAAACAACTGTAGTTTGAGTGGTACCACTTGGCCTCTGTCCTTGAAACTCTATAGCCTGGTTTCCTACTTCTCTATTTGCATTCTGCTGTTGAGTCCTTAACTGCATATACAGTTCTTGGATTTTGCCATCTTCCTCTTTTTGAACTTCCCATTTGAAACTGATGATGCACCTGCCAAACATTTTTTTCCAGTTGTGGCTCATTTCCAGGAGACTTCAGGAAGGTAGCAAAGGCCATTGTCATTGAATCTTGAAGCTTGAAGACTTCAATGCAAAAAAGTGCTTTTTAGAGCAGTGCAATGATTAATAAAAATAATATTCTGTAGCTGCTGTGGACTAAATTCCATGATTGACATAACTGAATGATACAGAGTGCTTAAAGGGGTTTGAAAGTGACAGAAGTGGTAAAAAGGAGGAAGAGCTGCATTGTGTAGCAGGCAGCTTTTTCACTCTAGGATCTGGCTGAAAGAAATATGTTCCAAGGGATTTGTCCTCTGTGCTTTCCTGAATTGCCAAAATCCAAGTAGGCACAGAGCTGAAATCCTTCAGCAGGTAGTTCTTTCAACCAGCCCCCAGAGATGAGCGGGAGTCCTCTTGATGGGTAGCAGCAGCTTGCAATCTTCCCTGTTGGCTTCCCCACTGAGTTTCTGGGAAAGTCAGCAGAGAAGGTTACAAATGGTGATCATATAATCATGGGGCATATGGCAATCAGTTTGTTTATTTGTCATATGACATAACAGAACACAGCATTAATGCATCTGAAAAGAGCCATTTTTATTTTCATACTGCTGCTTCTTGTTGGTCCTTGTGAAGTCCAGCAGCTGGAATGGGTAGACTATTTAGCTGTGAAAAAGTCACATTGCCCGGGGTGCACCACAAGGAGACTAGTCTACACTGCATTTGTGGCATCCCTTTGTAAGTGTGAATATGTTGTCAATTACCCAGATCACAATCATGTGACTGCAGGGATGGTGGTGGTGAAATGCTTTGCAAAGGTTGGAAGTGCTTTACAGGCTGTGTTGTTAAGCAAATAGTTATAACTCAAGGACTACCTGTAGACATCTATATCTATGCACAGAAATCCTACTAAATAAACTTCGCAATATTATAAAGAACATTTGCATAAAATTACTTTAAGAATATTTGCCCCAAATTATGGCCATTTAAAATATCCAAAGTTTTACTTAGAAAAGTTATACTTTTAGCAGGGAGGAGGGAAAAAATCCAGTTTTTGGGCATTTAAACTTCCATCTGAAATTCTAAATTATTCATAGCTTCTGCATTTTAAAAAAACCCTGAAAACCATTAGGAGTTGAATTTCAACTGCAAAAAAACACATTTAAATGAAAATTTCTAATAGTTTAGAAAAATTCTGATTCAATATATAGCCACAGAAGATGGATGCAGTGGGATTGGGGAATATGTTACATTTGCAAGGAGGGTGCCCTGAAATGCTTAGTTGTATAGTAGTTTTCTCATCCTTGAAAAAGTCCCATACTATGCTATAGCAAAACATCAGCCTATCTCCCGGCTCATCTCTGCAGCTTCTTTTTAGAATAGAATAGAAGAGACCTTGCAGGTCTTCTAGTCCAGTCTCCTCTCAAACAGGAGACCCTATAGTACATTTCAGACAAGTGGCTATCCAGTCTCTTCTTAAAAATCTCCCAATTTCTGAAGGAAAGCAGTTCCACTGATTAATTGTTATAATTGTTAGGAAGTTTCTCTTAATTCCAAGTTGCTTTTATGTCATTGCAGTGATTTTCACCTACCGGTAGTCCTCCTCCTCTGTCCCTCTTCCACCTTTGCTTCTAGCACTGATCAACTGTTGCAAAATATGTTCCTAATGCACTGCAGCTGCCTTTGAGCCTTTTCTCAATAATATGTGAGGACTTATTAATTACAGATTGTAGCAATAAAGTTCTTCATTCAGCTGAGGATTACATTATATTTCAAGAGAGCAGATAGCAATTCTTTTTCTGTATATTCTAAGTTTTCCTCCTATACTTAATTTGCAAACACTGCAGCTTTTCATCTGTCTCTTCTTCTTTTCTAAAGCTCCTTTTCCTGTTTCAAACCCTGCCTTTCAATATGTTCCCCTTTCTGCTATCGTATCTGTTTGCATAATATTACCCTCTTAACCAGAATGTTTAACTTCTGTTTCCATCTATCTTCCTGTATAATAGATAGAAAGGGGGGGGGGAGAAATACCCAACAATGAAGAAAAACTGCATGTGTAGGAAGTGCACATGGAATAGGCTTTTAATGACAATACACCACATCATAATTATATAAATACAAATTTATATGTAAAGAAAACTACATTAAGAAACAATTTTAAAAATGGAGAAGTGTTGGGATTTGATGGCATGTCTGCAGAAATGTTAAAACCAATACACAAAATTGGCACAGACGTTTGAACAAAATTCCAAAATTAAAACTAATATTTTTATTCCCCAGTCTAAAGCAGAGGAAAAATGCAGTGAATACTTTATGATAAATTTGATGAATCATGTTTTTAAAAGATTTTTTAAAACTAGTTTAAAGCAGGAGGTAGCAGCAGTATAAATCTGTTTTGAATGTTATCCAGTTTGAATTCAGGAATGAATTAGGATACCAAGGGTGGAATTTTTAAAATGTAGGATAATAACAATTTTGCTAGATATATAGAAAATTATTAGACTAAATAATATATATGTATACATTTTATCACATTTTGGAATCTCCCTCACAAGGAATTTTATAATGTGTTGGAGCCAGATAATTTATAAATTCCATAAATCAATATTTCTTCATCCAAATTATTTTTCTAGTGTAAAACAGATTAAAAATGTTTTTATTAAAACAATGTTTTAAATTTGGAAGAATAGAAACATAATTTGATAAAGGATACTTCCCTTTTAACTCCTCTAATATATATCAATCAGGAAGATTATTATGGTTTGGTGAAAATAAAATCTTGAAATTACACACTAAGTGCAATTGGTCAGCCAATTGTGAATCCATCTGGTGGTGGTAGTGTCTATCCCACATTGTTCTATTCAGTGCTTTTTTTGTAGAAAAAAAAGGTGCCAGAACTCACACATGTCATACAACCCACCTTGCTTACCCTCCAAGGTTCCATCCCAAAAAGGTGCCGGAACTCTGTTCTGGGTGTTCTATGACAAAAAAAAAGCCATGGTTTTATTATCCCAAGAAGTATGCTGTGATGTATTTTGTCAAATACCTTACTAAAGTCTAAGTATTCTATATGCACAGCATGTCCTTGATCCACTAATTTAGTCATCCTATTAAAAAAGGCAATAAGGTATGTATGGCAAGACCTGCTTTTAACAAACCCATGCGGGCTTCTAGTAATCACCTTGTTCATTTCTAGGTTCACAAATTCGCTGCTTGATTATCTTTCCCAGGATTTTCCCAGATATTGATGTCAAGCTGATTAGTCTGTAGTTTCCTGGATCCTCTTTTGCCCGGTTTTGAAAATCAGAATCTTATTACTGGTAATTCTTTTCCAGTGTTGGCAGTTCCCCTGTGCTCTGGAAGTACTGCAAGGTTTTATTCAGTGGTTCTGAGATCATCTCTGCCAGATCCTTTAGAACCCTGGAATGTAAACCATCTGGTCCCGGCAATTTTAACTTGTCCAAGGTGGATAGGTGCTCTCTTACCAATTCCTTGCCTACTTTGACTTGCATTTCTGCTCTATCTCCCTTGGTGTTGCTTTTGATAGATTAGGATCCCCCCCCCTTTTTTTTTTACTTAAAAACAGATGCAAAGAAGGAATTAAGCAGTTCTGCTTTTTCCTTGCTGCCTGTCATCTTCTGCCATTAGTGGACCTTGACATTTTCTTGTTCATTATATATTGAAAGAAACTTTTTTTTTTTGTTATTTTTGGCATTTGGTGCAAGTCTTTGTTCATTCTGAGCCTTAGCCTTCCTGACTCTATCCCTACAGATTTGGGTTATATGCTGGTATTCTGTTCTAGTTATGTGCCCCTCTTTCCATTTTTTATACTTGTCCTTTTTGTCCCTCAGTCTGTCAGACAGCTCTTTGCACAATCATGCTGGTTTCTGGAAGCTCTTCTTTTTCTTTCTCTGTGGTACAGCTCTTGTTTGCACATTTATTATCTTGTTTTTCAGGGTTTGCCAAACATCCTGAACTATTTTCTCCCCTCTAGGATTTCTATCCATGGAATCTTTCCTATTATCTCTCTCTCTTTTTTTTTGCAGTTCTATTTTTATTTTATTCAAAAAAGTTTTTTTTTAAAAAAAAGACAACCCCCCTACAAAACAGACATTAAAAAGTACATTAAAAAAACCTAACCCATATTCACATATTATTCCCCCTAGTTGAATACTGATTAATATATTACAACAATATTAGTTTCCCACCCTTGCAAAACAGGCCCCACAAATTTTTAAACTACTAAATCTATTTGGAAATTATTAACCCGTCATCTATATACTACATTAATGACAAAATAATTAACAAGAAGAACAGTAATAATAGAAAAAGACAAGATTAAAGTTTCAAAACTCTCTGTAAACAAACTGTAATTATAATTAACTTGTAGAAAATTTACCACGGCATCTTATCTATGCCAAATTGTCCCAAGAGTTAAAAGTGATTTGTACTGGATCAAATATCTATGTTTGTTTCTTAATACCATCTCTTATCAATTGTTGTCAGGTTAAATATAATAAACCCAATCTCCAAAGTTGGTCAATCTTCCCCCAAAAAAGTCCAGTTGAAATTGTTTTCCAACTGAATGTGATAAATCCATTCCCCAATCTCCTTCAACCCTCTTAGGGAAAACCAATATATTATTTTGCCACTCCATTCAGTCAGTTTCTGCTGTTGTACAAGAATAGTCTTGAACTTCAGGGAGGCGTTGCAATTGACTCAGTTCTAAGTCTGTAAAGTCCATATTTCTTTCCAGTGAATCTGCTGCTTTCAGATCACATTTCTTTTGTGAATCTAATTTATCTAGTGTGACATGCATCTGAATATTTTCTGCAGCCATTATTATTTCATCAAACTTTTTTAAAATTAAATATTTATTATAGAAAAGTTTTATACAAGTTTTTAACAATATCCCCCCTAAAAGAACCCCCTCCCTCCCCCCCACTTCCCAGAGCTGATTACAGGGTTACAAATAAACAAACAAATTCTAAATCATCATAATTTATCCATTAAATCCCATATTTACTCTGCATATAATTTATCCATCTTCTCCAGGCCGAGGTGTATATCTCTTTTAAACAACCATTCATCCACAATAAACACAAAAATTTCCCTCCAATATAATCCAACCAATAAACTTACATTCGATAAATTTGGCTCTTTGCTTTTTTCCCACCCCCACATAAAGTTATTAATACCCTCCTACTTAACAAACAAACCATAGCTTGATCATTAAAATTCTCACCAACAGAGATCATTATAATTTAAATTCTTTTACACTTTTACCCATAATATCTCATAATTATTTTTATACATTTTAGATTAAAAATTATAATATGAATTCCCAAATATTTAAACTTTTCCACTAAATCAACACCTTCTATTATTCTTTTTTCTTTACATCTACATACTACACAAGTCATTCACTATTCCTTTAAAAACATACTAAATCAAAACCTATCAACTACACTAACATTTATTGTTCTTTTTCTTTACATCTACATCAGTGGTTCTCAACCTGTGGGTCGGGACCCCATTTGGGGTCGAACAACCATTTCACGGGGGTCGCCAAACAACGCAGTCCACCATTTTTTCCCCTTTTACTTAGCTGTGCTACTCCCTTTTATTCTATTGGCTTTTGAAAGCCAATAGAATAGACTCTCTTGAATAGAGTCTAATTCTATTGGCTTTCAAAAGCCAATAGGAATTGTCCAGGCTGTCTCTGCCCTGCTGAGCCTGCCAAAAGTCCCATTCTGCAAATGGTGCTGCACCAGTTGAGTAGTCCTTGACTTACAACCGGTTGGGGGGTCACGGCATTAAAAAGGTTGAGAACCACTGATCTACATATTACTCAAATCATTCACTATTCCTTTAAAACATCTTCTATCTCAAAAAAAGAAAAAAACTACTACAAAAGTTCATCATTTCCTTTTCCTTATTCCAACATCCGCCTTCTGCTGTTCTTTTTCTTTACATCTATAGGCTGCACGAATCATTCTCAGTTCCTTTGAAAAATCTTCTGTCACAAGAGACTGCTGCAGAAATTCAGCCTGTTTGTCTCCTACACCCAATAACATAGCACCTTCAACTGGCTGTACTTCCAACTTTTCTTCTATTATCTCAGGTTGTGAAGATGATGGAGAGCCCACCTTCAAAACAGAAGTGTAAAAATCTTTCGCTCTGAAATTGTATTAAGTCTATAATGTATCCCCGCATAATTCACCACTATTCCAACCGGTATCTCCCATCTAAACTGGACCTGTCGTTTTTTAAGCTCGTCAGCCCAAAAAAACAAAATCCTTTCTTTTTCTAAGAATTTTTGAAAATATTTCCTTTAAAATTATTACATCTTGAGCTGCAATTCGAAATCTCTGCTTATAAAAAACCTGTAAAATTTCATTACGAAGTGATCTCCTAGAAAAATAAATAATCACATCTTGTAGCAAATTCCTCTGCCTCGCAACCCTTGAATTAACCCTAAAAACTTTTTCCGTCTCTCTCAGTATTTCTTCAGGCCCAGCCCCCAAAATAAAGGCTATATCTTTTACCACGACCTGTCTCAAATCCTCTTGCGTACTTTCCTTCAATCCCCTTATTCTTAAAGCAAATTCCATGTCTCTATATTGTAACATAGTAATTTCATCCTGTATTATTTCCACGTTATTTTCCACTTCCAGTTTTTCAAAATTTTCCACAACATCATCAATACGATCATCCGGACACTCTATATGACTTACAAACTTTTGAAATGCAAACACTATGTCTTCTCTCATTTCCCTGTTTCTTTCTTCAAAAAATTCCTCCATCTCTTCTTTAATCTGTCGTGCCATATTTTCCAAGGCATCCTGTAGATCTTTAAATGTACATGCTGATGATGATGGAGAAGGTGGTGGTAACTTAAACTTAACTTGCTGAGCTGTCTGCATTACCGGAGAGGAGATCGAGGCTTTAGAAGCAACAGAAGCTCCGAGATGCTTTGAAGCCATTTTATTTTTAAGACCACTTGTTAGAAAGTCTGCTAAAATCTTATAAAATCAACAATTATCAAAAGAAGAAGAAAAAAGAAAAGGGGAGGAAAAAAGACAAAAGCCCCCTCACCTTCCTTAATTCTTTTTCTTCTTCTTGACATAGCCAGAAAAGCCCTTTCAATTGCTTTTATCTTCTCTTTTAAGTTACTTTTGTACTTTACTGACTTGGTTTTTGGTAGATATTGGACACTTACTGATCTGCCTCCTTGGTGAATATACTCACAAAATATATACTCGGTGATTAATCTCTCCCTCCAAATCCATCAACAGAGTCTAGGGGGGAGGAAAGGGAAGTCAGACATACACTATTAGTACTATGCAAGTTCCACCTTTTTTTCTAATTTTTGTGCCACAAATTGTGTTCATGCTCCAAAGGGTTAGAGGTTGCAGGATGATGTAATAATATTAGTTTCAATTTTCTGACCAAAGCAGTGAGTTGCTGTGGACACCATTAGTATCTATTTTCCCTCATTAGAATTCATTTTTCCTCCTTAGAATAATAAATAGATTAAAAAATTGATTATATTTATGTACAACATAAAATATATAGCAAATGTTTGTTGCATAACCTGGAGGAAGATGACCATTAGTAATGTGTTGCTGTTCTGGAAGGAATCACATAATAGGTTTTGCAACTAATTTTCTGATATTCTTTGTCACTCAAAAGCATTGAGGAATGTAAAGGAAACTGTACATTATTTAAATATTGAATGTACAGTAAGATTAGATATATCTCTGTACTACCATAAACTGTGAAATATCTCTTGTTATACTGATAACTTTCTCTTGGTTCAGTTGTGTGATTTTGCTAGTTCTAAGAATGGCTTTTGAGGTGCTGAGCTTGTTATTATGATTGTAGTAATTCCTGGTTTTAATGTAACCAACAGTAGTTTATCACAATAGGATTCAGGCAACATCATCCAGGTTTTGTGCCTCCAATCCTTATTCTACAGAAAACATTGGGGAAATTAGAATGCTTCCTCTGAATTTTATAAAGTAAACACTAGACCAGTGCTTTTTTTGTTAAAAAAAAAAAAGGTGCCGGAACTTTTACACGTTGTACAACCCGCCTTGCCTACGCTACAAGGTTCCATCCAAAAAAAGTGCCAGAACTCCGTTCTGGGCATTCTATGACAAAAAAAAAAAGCCCTGCACTAGACTATGGCTTTCTTAATTGAATTTTTAAAAACAAAATCTTAAAAAGTTTATATGACATGGCAATTTATAGTAAACATCAAAAAAAGGGGATCATTTCCAAACTATGAAGAGAAGCCCAAGAGGAGGTGGAAACTAGGCCTATTCCTGTTACAATTATGTCACCATCTGTGACAAGATATAAAAAAGTGTACTACTCTCACTTCCTATTTTAAAAATGAACACCATGAAAATGATGATTAGGAAGGAAATATTTGGCCATATAAAAAAGTTAATGTTATTCTAGATTGCATTGAAAAACACTGAGAGTCTGATGGACACTTAGCAATAATGCCCAGGAACATTACTTTAAATGTGTCAAACTTAGATATTGGAAAGACCTGATGAGATGCTTTGGTTGAAGTTTTAATTAACATAGAAAAAGATCCTGCAATGACTCTGATCAGTATAGCATTACCTTCAGAAATTAGAATGCTTGCAAATTAGAATGGATAATGTTCTCTACCTTGAGTTATTACTAAAAATAATAAAGGCAGGATAGAAATGAATGAATGAATGAATAAATAAATACATAATACTGGGGAGTATTGAGCAGACCAAGGGGAGCTGAGATTCATTGAAAGTGGTTCTTCTATCAATTTGACAGGGAGGAAAACTAATAATTTCCTAAACGAATATAAACTGCTGGCAATCTTTTTTATTGTAATGGTTTTAAAATACATTAAATAAAAATAAAGCATTTGTATATTTCACATCTTTAAATTATCATTGCATATCATTACTTCTGCAGCCAAACTTTTGGATAATGAGAAGACTCAAATCCTTAAGCATCTCAGACGTAAGGAATTGGAAGAACGCCAGAAGTTGTATAGGTGAGTTTTCATAAAATAGAGATCAGCAACTTTTTCAAGGATTGAATGCAATTTACTGTCTGGCTTGAGGGTCCAGGAATTTCCTCCACTATTAAATAAAATTCTTAAAATCTTACAAGAATCATCCGGTCCTGTGAAATTCCAACTTCCCCTCTCCAAATGTCCTGTTTTGTTATAATTTTTAATAGTACATTGAAGAAAGAAATCTCATTAGATATAATTTCAGAATTTGTTTACAGTTAAGTATACTTTGAATCATATGTCTACTTTATTGGGTGTACTTAATTTTACTATTTAGCTTTGAGTAATCTATTCTGCATACTTATGTTGAATTTTATTTATAGGAACACATTGAGTTACGTTCAGTATTGATCCTGTGGGTACATCAGAATTTTGAGTAAGAATCACATATTTAGCCACGATCAGTGTCTTTTTAGGAAATAACTCAGCCCAATTTTTATAACACATTTATATAGCTTCCTATCAATGAGAATTCTGAGCAGTAAACCAGTCAAAGATTATAACATATAGTAATATACAACCCATTAAAAGAACAAAGTTGAGGTCACTGTACTACTACTTTACCAGCATGTCCCACACATATATAGGCTCCATTAACATCTGCCCCCAGTGCTTAGGAAAAGCCAGACCTTCATGTCCTTCTGGGATCAACGTCATCTGAATCTTGGGGGAAGGATATTGGTGAAGAGGAGGTTGTTCCATTAGGCAGGTTCCATGACAGAAAAAGTACACTTCCTAAAACCTATCAAGTGAAGCTGCTTCATCAAGGAGATCTGTAACATGCTCATTCTACTTGATCAGTGAAATGGGCGGAAACCATTGAGAATAAGAGGTGCCACAAGTAAACTGTCCCATACTATTTAATGTTTTACAGATGACAACTAGCATCTTGAATTGCACCCAGAAACTTACTGGGGGTCAATACTGCTTTTTCTGTAGAGACTAAACAGAAACAAGGAGGGAATCGAATCCTGTGCCAACTTGTAAAGCAGAGGATAGTGGCCCTCTTCTCCTCTATCAACATTTACTTGAACCAGCCTCAGAGGAAGGAGACCAATCACTGGAGAACCATGCCACTCACTCCCAACCCCCTCAACTAGGCCAAAAGGATATCTGATTGATGGTATCAAAACCCTCATCAGTCAGGACAGATATACTCTGCTGATCCTGAATTTGGTAGAGGTCATCTCTAAGTATGATCATTGCCATTTTAATACTACAGATTTATATTATAACCTGGCTTAAAACCAACTAGTATTTATTTATTTAGTGTTGTTTGTCCATCGATTTTTGATGAGGACCTTGACATCTTGTGGATTATGGGCCATCAACGATGTGTCCGTAGGTGGCTGATAAGACCGATATTAGCACGGAATGTTCTGCCACATACTGAACAAAGAAATGTAGACACTGTTACTTCAGCATTTACAGCTCTGGCTTTGCGGAGTGCTCGCTTCTCTTGTGCCAAGATTGTCCTTCTATGTTCATATGTCTGCAACCCTGGTACATCAAGGTGCGCCATGTCGGTCGATCATGCGCCAGAAGTTCCCAAGAGATGGTGTTAATATCCAGGGACTTAAGAGAGGCTTTCAGTGTGTCTTTGTATCGCTTCTTTTGTCCCCCGTGTGATCATTTTCCTTGAGATAGCTCACCATAGAAGAGCTGTTTAGGGATGCAATGATCTGGCATCCTCACAACATGGCCTGCCCAGCGCATCTGGGCTTTCATCAGCAGATTGTAAACTGATGATAGGCCTGCTCTGGAGAGGACATCTGTGTCTGGTATCTTATCTAGCCACCGAATCCTCAAAATTCTATGAAGGCAAGTCATGTGGAAGTTGTTCAGTTGCCTAACATGCCTCCTGTACACTGTCCAGGTCTCACTAGCATACATCAGGGTAGTTAGCACTGCTGCCTGGTAAACTTTAAGCTTAGTAGCAAGGCTTATTCCATGGCGGTCCCACACGTTGGTCCGCAATCTGCCAAATGCAGAACTTGCCTTGGCAATTCTACAGTTGACCTCATTGTCAATTGTCACTGCACGGGAGAGGGTACTACCAAGATACGTAAATTGGTCCACTGCTTGCAGCTTTTGTCCCTTTACTGTGATGGTAGGCTCTTGATATTGGGCTTTTGGAACTGGCTGGTACATCATTTCAGTTTTCTTCGTGTTGATGAAGAGGCCATAGTTGTCATAAACGGCTGCAAATTTGTCCATGCTGGCTTGCATTTCCTGCTCCGATCCTGCATTAAGGGCGCAGTCATCAGCAAAGAGGAAATCTCGTAGCACAGTCTTCTTTACCTTGGTGACAGCCTGAAGACTTCGCAGGTTGAACAGTTTCCCATCAGTTCTGTACCTCAGATTAACTCCCACTGAGCTGTTCTCAAAGGTGTCTGACGGCATGGCTGAAAACATCATGCTGAACAGTGTTGGTGCCAGCACGCAACCTTGCTTAACGCCGTTAGTGACAGGGAAGGCCTCTGAGACTCCACCGTTACTCAGAACACAAGCTGCCGTGCCATGATGGAACTGCCGTACCATCAGAATAAACCTGTCAGGGCACCCAAACTTCGACATAATGCTCCATAATCCTTCACGACTGTGTCAAAAGCCTTGGTGAGATCCACGAAGGTGGTGTATAGTTCACAATTCTGCTCCTGACATTTCTCCTGGAGCTGTCGAGCTGCAAAGATCATGTCCATTCTTTGTGGAAACCACACTGTGTCTCAGGTAGTATGCCCTGTTCCAGATGGTCAGTCAGGCAATTTAGCAACACATGTGCAAATATCTTGCCTGCGACAGAGAGAAGTGATATTCCTCTATAATTATCACAGACTTGTAGATTTCCTTTCCTCTTGTAGAGGTGCACAATGGACGCGTCTTTCAGTTTCTGGGGAATGGAACCTTGTTTCCAGAAAGATCGGAACAACTGGGTAAGTTTTTCAACAAGCACAGCACCACCAGCCTTATAGACGTCTGCTGGGATTGCGTCAGATCCTGGCACCTTTCCACTGGAACACTGACTGATGGCCTGTGATATTTCAGCCTCTGATGGTAAGGCATCCAGGCTATAGTTGGTATCTACCTGGGATATCCTGTCAAATCGCCTCATTATTGATGGTGGATGGGTGGTTCAGCACAAAGTGGAAATGCTCAGCCCAACGCTGTAAAATCAGGGTCTTCTCAGTGATAAGAGTTACACCACTCGAATCCAGTAAAGGAGAGCTTCCTAAGGGCTGAGGTCCATACAGGGATCTAAGGGCTTCATAGAATCGTTTGACATCGCCTCTATCAGCAAACTTCTGAATTTCATCTGCTTTGGCACTCAGCCAGGAGTCCTGCATCTTGCAGAGCTTGCTCTGTATAATCCTGCGAGTGTTTATAAAAGCATTTTCTTTGCAGTTGACAACGGGTCATTTTGATGAGCACGGTAGAGATGGTGTTTTTCAGCAAGCAAGGCCTTAATCTCTTCATCGTTTTCATCAAACCAGTCCTGCTGCTTCCTATATGAAGGTCCAAGAACTTTAAGTGCAGAAGAGTGCAAGATGTCCTGGAAACATTCCCAGTCCTTCTCAGCATTTTCCTGTATTTGCAGCTCCAGGAGTTGATTGTCAAGATCTTTTACTAATGAAGCTACTATGTCAGGGTTTTCCAGTTACTGATGTTGATCTTTTTCATCACAACTCTGTTTCCCTGTGGACGATTCTTTGGCTTGATGTGAATATTTAACTTGGAAATGATGAGTCTATGGTCAGTCCAGCAGTCAGCACTCAGTATAGCCTTAGTTACTCTTACATCTTGCATGTCTTTCCTCTGCATAATGACATAATCAATAAGATGCCAGTGCCTGGAGCATGGGTGAATCCAGGACGTCTTTTTATGAGTAGGCAGGTGAAAGATGGTATTAGTAATGACCAGATCATGAGCAGCACATGTCTTCAATAGTAACATACCATTGCTATTACACGTGCCAATTCCATTTTTACCAATAACGCCATCCCAGGTAGAATGATCAGACCCCACTCTCACGTTGAAATCGCCAAGTAAAATCAGCCTATCGGTATGCTTCATGGATGAAAGTAGGGCATCAAGATCTTCATAAAACTTGTCCTTTACTTCATCTGGATTTGTCATTGTGGGTACGTAGGCACAGATCAATGTGGCTTGCTTTCCACTTAATAGTGGAAGATGCAGTGTCATGAGTCGATCATTCACACCCTTAGGAAGACTGGCAAGTTGGCGAACAAGATGGTTCTTAACCACTAAGCCAACTCCAGACTCACGACGTTGGTCACTGCTACGTCCACACCAAAAAAATGTGTAACCGCCTCCTGTTTCTGTGAGCTGACCTTCATTGGCTAGACGAGTTTCACACAGGGCCGCAATGTCAATGTTAAATCTGGCAAGCTCTCTGGCTACCAGAGCTGTTCTTCTTTCTGGGCGATCTGCTAATGGATTGTCTTGAAGCGTACGTACGTTCCATGTACCAATAATAAGTGGTAACACCTTGTGTTTCGTCTTAAATTTTGTATTTCGACCACATGAAATGGGATCCTCTCCAACCGCGGTAGGCTGAACAGGGTTTGAAGGAAGCAACAATGTTTAGGGCACATTTTCTAGCCCCTTCCTCATACTACGGAGGTGAGCAGTGTGATCCTAAAGAGGGCTGCTCAGTCGCTCATATAGACACCAAATCCAGCTGTTGCTTCATCAGCAAGAAGCGATCATTAGACCTGAGCTGCCTGTGTGCAGGTCCACGTCCACAGCTCCCAGTAATTCCACACCTGCTGCTTCTTCGCTCGCCTATCGCCACAGGACTTTAAGATTTGTCAGAATTAGGGAAAGTCAAGATGTCAAGACTTGCACGTGGATTGGATTTAAGTGAGGGAGAGGTGTGCATAGTCAGCCTCACTCTCTCTTCCCAGATTCCATCTTATTCCAATGGCAGGACAAAAGTCGAGAAAGTTGGAGATGGGCTG